TTCCATAATTTTGTGTTTTGTTACATAATTCTCTGTTAAACCACTCATAAAACAATTCTAGAATAAAAATAGTATTTGTACTGCGCGCAGTGAATGAAAAAATTAAAAAAAAAACATAGTATTCTGAACTCTCTCTTTTTTTTCGAGAGATTACATGCGAATACGTTTGCAATATTTCCGGGCGGTTCTATTTCATTAGAATCGTGCCAACGTGAAACGAGTAAAATCCCGGAAAATATCCGAAAACACGGGAAACGTAGGCGGTTACTCGCGAATTTTCACGAAAGCCGCGCACGATGCTCGTCCGCGTTGGTTTACATTATTCGCTGCAACGAAAATTATGCAAATCCGACTGTGCGAAGCGGAGCAACTCCCAAACCCGCATTTCCATACGAGAAATTATTGCGACAGGACTCGTGCGTCGCCACACCACCACCGGAATTTTTGGGTGGTCCGCGTAGCTATAGCGCGATGGGCGAACCTAATATTTAATAACAGGAGATGCACTAATACTTCTTAATGCCCAGCGCGTTGCAACTCACTGCATCCTTCGGGGCGCCCGAAACGCCCCGGCGTTTCACTCAGTCTCTCTCTCTCTCTCTCTCTCTCTCTCTCTCTCTCACTCACTCTCACTCTGTCGCACACCCTCGGGCGGCAAGCTCGGCTTTACACCTTCGGACATTCCCTCGCCCGGTCTTCTAATTTGTAACTACATCCGTCGCGCACAACGTCCGACTGGAAACACCGAGCATTCCCATTCGGCCGGTTTTTTACCGCCTGCGTTTACCTGCCGTCTCGCCGCGAAAGGTAAATCCGCTTTACGCGGTCGCAAATATTGTGGCAGGCGCTATGCCGTCGCTACCTGCCAGTCGTCGTCGTCGTACGCGCGACATCCGCGTAATTAACGTGTAATAGCGTAATGGAGTACGGATGCAGTGGTAGTGGACAAAGGCGCGTGTGAATTACGTGGGTTTACGAGTGCTTTCGCACTTTTTTCGCACAAGCGTTTCGCGAGGTAACGCATTTGCATAAACACCGCACCTGCGCGTCCTGCATCTACGTTTGCTTCGTTAGGTCGAGAGACCGCTCCTAATTAAGTCTCGATTCGAGAGTTACATTGCGAATGTCTTCGACAAACACTTCTCACGCGCTTCGCTGCGCCATTCGCGTGAAACGCAGAGGAAGAATGACATATTGATGTGAGTTGAGCACAAGTCCCATTTAAATTCCTATAAATTTCCAGCGATTTATGTCGTTACGTATATTTTTCCTGTCTACACATGTAAACCGGATTGTATTATAAAATACGACCGCAGTGAAAATCACCGCGACACATTGGCCTATATGCATATTCAATTGCGAGCAGCCTCGTAAAGTTATGCGAGGTGTCGAAAGCGACGGCACAACGAATATCCGTAAAACGGCGTGAACGTTGAAAGCTTTTCTACACTTGAGCTTTTGAGATATATTAGAAGGTCGATCTTCACTCTGATGTATCATTCATCATGCAAACAACGATTCATATCGAATCCCGTCGCATTTTTATTTCAATAAAAGAGACAAAGCACGATAATACCTGTAATGTGTGAAGCTCATGAAACTCTTTCATTTCGCGCTTCCTGACTTTTGTGCAGTAAAAGAATTTTTTTCTCAACTAAAGAGTCGTATCTTTTTTATTAGTATATATATATATATATATATATATATATATATATATATATA